GTGCCTCTAAAGCAAGTGCTGAAAAGCCCAGCTAGAAAGAAACTTCTTTCATGTGGATTTTCTATATGTCTTTAACTGCATCTCTCAGAAGATTGTGGAGCAAAGTCTGAGAAATGTTGGTCTAATTTTAAAATTATCCAAGAGTATCTCTTTAAAACAATGCAGCTCCTTGAGGAAAGTGTGTATTGTTATTTATTATGTAGCAAGTTACACACAGTGGGTATGATCCTTATGTCTTGTACCATTTGTAGCTTCTCTGCCTATATCAACAGTCCCTGCTAAATGCCTAAACTGTGTGTATGGTATATGCATATGTGCACGTGTTTGTGGGTGCACGATGTATACATGTGCAGAGGCCAGAGGAGGACGTCAACAGATTGTCCCACTCTAGCACTCTCTGCCTTATCCCCTGGAGACAGGGTCTCTCTCTGATCCTAGAGCACTCTGTTTTTTGTTTTGTTTAGTTTTTCCAAACTGGCTGGTCAGCAAGCCCCAGCAATCCTCCTGTCTGGCCCCCTACAGCCCTTAGCTGGGGTTACAGGGAAGTACCACCATGTCCAGCTTTCATATGGGTTCTGGGTATCAGAGCACATGTCCTCCTGCTTGTAAAGAAGCACTCTCACCAAATGAACAGTCTTCCCAGTCCCCATAAATACCTCATTTTTGATAGATTTTTAAATGCTCTCAACCCAGAATAAACCCAAATAAACTTTGAATAAACCTTTTAATGCCTCTGAATAAAGTCTGTCACCCCACAGTAATCTCCAGCTTTCCTTCCACAGCTTACCTTAAGCTATCCTCATCTCACCAAGGGGCCAGGTACTCTAATAAGCCCAGCTCTAAGATTATCTCCTTTTAAAGAAGAAAGAAAGAAGAAAGAAAACCCACTAGGTTATCCAAATCTAAAGCTGGAGCTGCCTCTCTGGGAGGACAGAGGCTTCTGTCCTGGAGATAAGAGGACAGTCTATTCCTGCAGAGCACACACAAAAGCCTGGGGGTTACACTGAAAGACACATACAACATACAGATACCAAAAGGGAACAGCCTCACACAAACACATCCAGCCCTTGACATGACAATCACATGACAAATGGTTTCTCAGAACTCAGATCTCTAGCACAGGGGATCTTGACCCTGACACTTAGAGCCACATAAGTCTTTGTTAGGAAAATACTGTTCTGACTTCATCCCACCACAAGCCAGCAGAACACCTACCCCTGCCACACACACACTTGGGGTGGGATAAACAAAAAGGTCTCCAGACTTAACCAAGCATCCCCTGAAGCAAAACCGTCCTGCTGAAAACCAGTTCTCCAGTATCTAAATTTTTGCTAGAGGTTCTAATGTGATATCTCATTTCTGAAGGACACAGGGAACTTTTCTTTGAGCTGACGTCCAGATAGAATGCATAAACATTATACTTCCAAAAGTCTCCCATTAAAATAAAAACAGGTAGAAATTCTGATGGAAGGATGTTTTACAATGTGACTAGACTTCCTTTAAATTGTCACTGTCATAGAAAATGGCAAAGTCTGAGAAACCACAGTAGGCAAAGGGGCCTAAAGAGAACTGAATCTAGAGTGCAAACCTGGATAGGATCTTAGGACAGAAAAAGGACCTTACGACTAAAAATAAAATTCCTCACAATGGGAAATAGCTGTGGGCTTTATAGAGACCATATAGTTTCTCTGTATACCCAAAACTTTTCTGAAAACTTAAAGCTATTTTTTTAAATAAATTTCCATTAAAATGGGAGGAAAAGCAAGCGTTAAAACAAAGCCTGAAATTACAGCTCTTGCCTGTGCAGGCATTTGAAGGGATAGTGCCTGAAGGGACTGTCTGGATTAGGAAAGGGATCAAGTGACCAGAAAAGTGAGAAAATACAATTCTTTGTCAGAATCAGGAAGTGAGAAAGTAAAATTGCTTTATTCTCTTACACCTGTGTGGGGAAGGTGAGGACTCCACTGCCAGCACCCCTGGGGCCCTGGCTGTCCCTTAAGCCTCTATCAGACTCTGGGACCATGTAACATCACACTGACCCAAAGCTTTGCATAGGCAGGCAGGTGCTCAGGTATTGGGGCCCCACCTCCCAGACTCGCCCATTTGGGCATCAACAGCCCTTAAACCCACTGCTGGGGGCTCAATAAATGCTCACTGAAATAGCTCAGGTTAGGCACGTATGTTTACACAAACTTCTGGAGGAGTGTAGGAATGATGCATCCAGACAGAAAAGGCAAAGTCAATTTAAAGTTCCTAAGTTTCCAGGGGTAAAAGGGGAGCCATGGGTGCCTGTGCTGGGGGCATGAAGAGGAGACGCACACAACGCACATTTGTAATACCTGAGCACCTGCAGCACTGGAAAAGACTTCGTCATTATTCAGTCCAGTGGCTTCATGTAATGAGGAGAAACTGAAGCTGAGGGTAGGTGACTGGTTGAAGGCCACACGGGTCTAAGCAGAAGACTAGATGGAGGGACCACAACCTCCACCTCTTACTACAACTGTTTAGTAACAAACAGCAAGAGCTGCTGCCTGCTGAACATGAGTACCAGGCTCGGGTTAAAAAGTCCACACTACCCTCTTACTTTAACTGAGGAAACCAATGTCAGGGAGGAAAATAATTCAGGTTTTCATACTCCAAAGCCTCCCCCTTCACACCTGCAGTTCCTTATAAAACTAAAGATGCAATTACCCTTCAACCCAGTGACAGCATTCTTGGGCCATTTAGAGAACAAAAATAATGTTCACACAAAAACCCAGTCATAGTAAGTATGTCCATTCACCTATAACAAAGATTGGGGCAACCCATACCTCCTTTTGAGACATGAACTACATTTAAACTAACGGTTCAACTTTGATGCATACCTATCATAAACACTGCCCAGCAATAAGAAGGAAAATATCATTGATCTAAAACACAATAAAATTGTGTATTTTAGGGAATTATGCTGTGGGAGAAAAAAAGCCAATCCCAAAAGGTTACATGCTGTATGATTCCTTGTAACACTTATAAATGACATGATTTTAGAAAAGGAGACTAGATCATGCTCCAGGGCTGGAGGACAGGGAAAACACCAGAATGGAGGGAGGTGTCAATACCGGGATCCCTGGGAGGAACTGCTCTGTACTTGATGGAAGATATGCCAGGCTCCCAATGACAGAACTGTTTAGAACTAGGCACACACCAGCACAAATAAAACCAGGCCAATCCGCATGGATACTAATTGAGATAAATGTACAGCTTTACAAAACATCACCAATGGGAGAAACTACACAAAGGGTTTGCCAGATCTCCCTATGTTACATTTAAAAATCACATGTAAATATACAATTTTTCAGTAAAAATTTTAATTAAAAATAATCTTAGCCAGGAGTGGCAGGTAATGCCTGTAATCCCAGCACTTGAGAGATTGAGACAGAGGCAGCTATGTTAAGGGCAGGCTGGAACCCTGTATCATAAGAAAAGAGGAGAGGGAGGGAGGGAGGGAGGGAGGGAG